TAGGCCGGCCCCACGGTGAGGGGAGGGGGGCAAGGGGGTAGTAGCATCCCAATGTGAGGCGAATGGCTCCAAGGGGGCTCGGAGCCCCCTCACAGGGAGGGGCGCAGGAGGGGCTGGGAGCCCCCTTGCCCTGAGATGAGTGGCTCCGAGGAGGCTCCAAGGCCTCCCCAACCAGCCAGGTGAGGGACTCCGAGGTGGCCAAGACAGCCCACCACGCCCTCCCAGACCAGATCACAGCAGGACTCCACAAGATTTCTTAAAATTTACAAAAATAGTATTGGAAAAATTGCGCTTTTTTCAACTTATAAATGCCAAAAAAAACCCCAAACAAGCAGAGCCTCAAGCTGCCCTTCTGTCACCATCACTCCATGTTTTTGCAGACCCGCTTGGGAGGCTGCTCAGTGTCCCTGCTGCTCCCTGGGACATTGTGGCAATAGTTCCTCTTGCTGTTGAGGGGCTGCTCCTCGCTGTCCCCCTCCAGCCCCAGCCCCTGGGGGGTGTCGATGCGGCCCCTCTGCACAAAGTGGCGGATCCGGGCCTCCAGCCCCTCGCACTTGGGGCGGGACAGCAACGGTTTGTAGGTGCGGGCTTTGACGCCCTCCACAAAGCCACTAGCCTGGCTGTGGAGTGGAGGCTTCACATCTCCCCAGGGGATGGTTGTGCTGTTCCCTGGGCCTGTAGTAATTGAACAAAACCAGAACAACTTAATTACCTCTTTCCATAACTTTTTAACCTGTTTTAACCTAACAAAACCCTCCCTTACTTTTTCCAGTAGCCACAGGAGCAGTGTCCAGGCCTTGTAACATGTTCCGTAGCACTTGAGTTTTCACTGCCTGGTTGGCCCAGAGCTGCTGCAGGTGAGTAATGTTGAACTCCTGCACTTCTTGGTCATAAAGCCACTGAAGGTTTTCAAACTCACAGTCGTACAGGACGAGGGGAAACTCAACTGCCATGCTGGGGAAAAGGAGGGAAGGCGTTACTGGTCACTGTCAAGACAGAAAACAGCATGTCAGCCTGTTCTTTCTGCCAAAAACAGCCCTATTTTCTGCAGAACTGATAAAAACTTAATAGTTTCAACCACATACCAGCACCAAAAGCTTCTCCAAGAGGAAGAAAACCAGGATCCTAAGGGATACCTCCCAGGGAGGCCACTGGTAGCTTTGCTTCAATATTGTGAGAGGAGGCTTCACACACAACCATCGCTCTCCTGTGCTTTGCAGAGCTTTTTCTGAGCTTTCCATACCTGTACTGTGGTTTCTGGGGGTTCTTCTCCACATCCAGCAGCTCATCAATGATCTCTGGGCTCTCCATCCTCTGGCCGATGAGGAAGAGAATGGCCATCATGCAGCGGACTTGGTGGTAGAGGAACGCCTGTCCTGTCACCTCAAACTGGCACAGCCGGAAGGGATCCTGAAGCCCAGCTTCTCCTCCCTCCTTCACCCATGTCACTGCAGCACTCGTGATCGTCCTCTGGAAGTTGACCACCCCATTGGCGACGTCCATTTTACACAAATTCCGGAAATCGTGGGTCCCCACATACCTCTGGGCTGCCGCATGCATGAGGGCCACGTCCAGGTCGGCGCAGGGGAAGAAGTAGCGGTAGGTCCTCCTCAGGCAGCTGAAGCGAGCGCTGAAATGGGGCTCCACAGGGGCCCAGGCCAGCGCCCGGATGTCAGAGGGCAGCACCCTGTTCAGAATGTGGGTGTAACGCAGCTCCTCCTGCCCGTTGAGCTGCTTCCCTTCGGGCAGGTTGGAGCGGAGATCCAGGGAAATCACCTGCAAAAGGAGGGAAGCCAGGATTAAACAGCAGATGGACATATTGGTGCATCCACCCAAGCCTTCCTACACCGCTGCCAAAGAAATCCAGAATCTCCTACGGATGGAGGTGGCTGGAATGAGGCACTTTTACTGCTCCTTCCCACGGGAGGAGCTGCCAGTGCCTCTGCAGAGGTTCTCTGCAGAAGCTTTGGGTTCCTGTAATAAGATGGAGAAAGTTGCAGGCTGCCCACGCAGCACTAGCTTCAAACGCCTTCATCTCCAGGCGCTGTTTTTAGGCTACAATGTGCTTTTTAGTTTTATCTTTTTGCTGGAGGTGATGGCTTGAAGGCTGGCTGGGAAACCAGGTGTGGGAACCAATTAATTAACACTTTAAACAGCACAAGGAAAAGTGACCTAGGCCTTTACTTCATGTGGCTTATCTTGGGAAGGAGAGCAGCCAAATCCATACCGAAAGCAAAGCCAGCTCCGCTTCCCAAGCTAGGAGGAAGGAGAGATGATGGCTCCATGCCCATTGAGCGGGCCGGCTGGCTCCCCTCGCTCTGGCTCCCACTCCCACACTCCCTTCTGCTCCCCTCAGACCCTCTGCACAGGAATTCCACTGCCTGAATCCTCAGGAAGCCAGCCAGTTCTCAGATCCATTTTTATTATTTTTTTTTCTGCTGGGCTAAAGTTAAAGCAGTCAAGAGGGCTCTGCCAAGGAAGTGGCATCTCCTCTTTTTCAGCAAGCTTCCCCTTCTTTTGGGGAAAAAAATTTAATTTCATTTGCTCAAAACAGGCCCCTGGAAAAAATAAAACAACTATCAAAAATAAGGGAAAAAAACCCCCACAGCCCAGCCTGGCACTAATAAACACTTTGAGGGGCTGAAATAGTCATTCTGCTAGCAGGCAGCTATGGCCAAGCTCATCTTCAAGCTTTTGAACACCAAACCCAACCAGTGCTGGTCATGGTGGGACAGCCACCCCACCTGATCTCCATGCCACAGAGCTCAGAAATCTGGGAAAACCTGTGGGGGTGGATCCTGACCTGTCCAAAAGCACTGACTCCTTTGTCAGTCCGCCCACAGCGGTGATAGTTGGAGCTCTGCCTGTCATCCACCAGCCGTGTCTTCTTCAAAGCTTCAAAGAGCTTCTCCTCAATGGTGTTGCTGGTGTTGTCCTGGCTGGCGAAGCCCTGGTAGCCCCAACCCAGGTAGGCCACCTTCAGTGCCACGTGCCTGCGGCCATAGGCACCAAAATCAAAGGGTCGTTGTTGGCGTTTCTTGGCTTTGCTGGTGGCCGAAGGAGCCTCCTTCCTTCCAGCACCTTTGTTGTTCTCTTGCAGCTTCTCCTGCAGCTGCTTCACCTCCTCCTCCAGCTCCTGAACCCTCCTCAGGAGCTGCTCTGGGTCAGTCACTGTGCTTCCCTCAGCCATCACCACTGGTGTGGAGCTCCTGGGGGTCTGCAGGGAAAGAAGGAAATGGAGGAATTAGCATTTTTATGTGGCTTTTGTTAGACCCAGAGGCTTGTTCTGGGAAACAATCGTTACCTGCAGAATAATTACTTTAAGGCCTTGGTGTTAGAGAATAATAGAAAGGTTAGGGTTGGAAGGGACCTTAAAGATCATCTAGTTCCAACCCCCTGCATGGGCAGAGATACCTCCCACTAGATCAGGTTGCTCAGAGCCCCATCCAACCTGGCCTTGAAGACATCCCAGGAGGGGTCATCCACACCCTCCCTGGGCAACCTGTTCCAGCACCTCACTACCTTCACAAGAAATAACTTCTTCCTAATGTCCTTTAGTGTTCCTAGCAGACTGCAGGCAGGGCCAAGGGGACTTAGCTGGGACAACTTAATCTCACTCATCTCCTTTTTTGCACTTCCTCATCACTTCTCGTTCTGCCGGGATCAGCTCCGGCAGCGCCTTCCCAGCCAGCACTGACGCTTGAGACAGCCCGCCAACGGCTGCCACTCATCCCGCTGCACCATCTGCTCCCATTTCATAACAGCATCACTCAAACTGCCTTTTTTTTGTCAAGCCATCAAGAGATCACATACCTGGGAAACTGTGTCCGGATCTCTGGTTTGGCTGCGCGTTTATTATAACAAGCCTCAGGTTTGGGGGCACGGCCAAGTCCCCTCATCTGATGAACTGCAAACCAAAATAGGCACCCTGGGACTTGAGGAATCAGAACCCCCTTTATTCCTGCAAGGAATTAACTGCCTTTCTTTTTTCCTTTATTTCATTTGTTTTGTTTTGTTTTGTGTTTTGCTTTTGCAGGATCTCCCCAGTTTCATGAAAATGATGAAAGAAGTGACAGGATTGGAGGGGCAGGGCCACCCGTTTCCCCAGGGAGAAGCTGGTCCAGCCCCATCACCATCCCCGTGTCAAGGCTCCCCTCCCTTGGGGATCAGATCCTGCATTTCCTGAGGCTGGGAAGGGTGGCAGGAGGTTGGTGATGAAGAGGAAGGTGCTGAGGCACCGACCTGATGGCAGTGCTGAGGTGTGGAATGAGTCAGTGAGCAGTGAGCCAGAGAGTGGGACCAGGAACCTGATTCACCCAGGGATCAATCCAGAAGATGACATTTCCGAGGGGGAAATGGAGACAAGCAGCAGCTTCCTGGAGGAACCCTCACGCCAGTGGCCCCGGGGGGATCGTTCTACCTTTCTCCTTGGGCATTTCAGGGGACGGAGCCTTCCCATTTCTCAGGACACCACCAGCACCACGGGACAACCCAAATCCTTTATCCCTCCCCACTTCCAGCTGCCCAGCCGGGGGAAATCTGACCCTGTAACTAGATATTTAGAATATAAACGCAACTGGGAGAAATTCTGCATTCCGGGTGAGACTCAGAGGCAGGAATTATGCTGGAGCGTCCGAGAGCAGATGCGCTGCAAGCCCCAGCCCCCCAAAAAGCCCCAGCCCCAACCTGTCCCCAACAAATACATTGTCCCCACCCAAAAGAAGCGATCGTCCCTGTGCTGGGAGGTGCGCTGGGCACTGGCCCATGGCCTCCTCCCCCCAAAATACACCTAGGGCCATAATTATATTTTTCCCCCCCTCATAATTTACTGGAAAAATTTCCACTTCTTTGTTGTTAGTTTGGGGGGGAATTTTGCCTTTTGAGCAGTGTAATTCTGGTGTTAAAACATCCCTCAGGGCACTGGAGGGGCTGTGTGAAGTGTGATCGTTTTAATAAAGGGTGTGGAAAGCTTCATGAGGGGGCTGCAGGTTAATGGGAACGGTGGGAAAGAGGCTGGAATTCCCAGCAGGAAGGCTGGGGGTGGGGAGGAGGTGCAGGAAGGATAGGAACAGGGTGGGACCCCAGATGGGGGACAAGGAGGACCATGTCTTGCCCTGCAGCTTGTGGACTCTGCTGGTGGGATTCTGGCACCCCAGACACCTTGTGAGGGGGGTTTCCCGTCCCCAGCATCCCAGGGACCCCTGAAATGCTGTGCCTCATCCCACAGGGACTCTGTTCCCCAACAGAGGACCCCCTCAAGCCATATGGGGCCCCTATCCCAAATGTCCCTGGGATGCCCAATGGGATCCCCTATAGGGTCCCTGTTCCAGTACCCTGCAGACTCCACCCTATGGTTGTGGTTCCCTATTTCCAGCACCCCAAGGACCCTCCCAAAACCCCACCAGCACCCTATGGGATCCCTGTTTCTCCAGTACACTGGGACCGCCCCCACTATGGGGTCCCTGTCCCTAGGACCCTCAGCACCCTAGGGGGCCCAGTGACCAGCCAGACTCCCTGGGGACCAGTGCTGGCATGCTATAGGGTTCCTGTCCCTCCCTGCCCTACAGGGCCTCTGTCCCCAGTACTCCAAGGGCCCCCAACACCCTATGGTGGGGAGGGGGCTGTCTCTCTTCCCAGCACCCCAGCGACCCCCTAGAAGTCCAGGGAGTCAGCTCCAGCACCTTATGGAGACCCTGTCCCCATAAAGGGACTCCCCAAGCCCTACAGGGTCCCTGTCCCCAACACCCCAGGGCCACCCCTTCCACCGTATGGGAGGGTTCCTGCCACCCACGGACCCCCCGAGACCCCGTGGGGGACAGTGGTGACATCCTACAGGGTCCCCGTCGCCAGCAGAGGACCCCAAAGCCCTACAGGGTCCTAAACACCCCAGAGACCCCCCCAAAACCTTATGGAGGGCAGCGCCAGTACCCCAGGAACCCCTGCCACCCTATGGGGCCTGGTCCCCCCCCAACGCCCCACTCCCGTCACTGTGGGGGCAGCACTGCCCCTCACTGCCACCCCCTCAGCACCGCAGGAATCCCCCCCACCCTATGAAGGGAAGGCTCCGCCCCGCCAGGGACGCCCCCAAAGCCCTGGGCC